TGAATTTTCTCCTATTTGTAGAAACTGATGGGTTAAGTCCGTCCAAAACAAACCTTACTATTTAGGAAAGAAATTCTATCTAATGCATTTCTTTGAAAGGTATTTTTATGATATCTGTAAGAATCTGTGGGATATTTTGGACAATCTCCCCCTGTTTCTAGGGTACTGATTTCACTGTGGCTAAGCAGCTGCCTATGGCCTTGAATGAAGCACAAGTATTGGAATGCCTTCCTGCTGTCTGCACAGACCTGTTCTCCAGTTACTGCACAAAGGAATAGTTGAATTCCACTCGGAATATAGGTATGTTTGAGTTTCAGGAAATAATAGAGTACTGTTGATTAGTTGTGAACTAGAACAAATAAGCCACAAGAGGGCATATTTTTCTTGGTTTCATCACTCTTATACAAATAAGGCTTGCCTCAATTAGGTATCAAAGGAATCCCTCCTCCTCCTCCCTTATTTTCTTAGATGAATGCATTGTATCTAAAGTGTGCTCTAAGGGTGGAGTGGCGTTGGTATGTGGTATTAGAGAAAAGCAAACTTTAAAAAATGGTATTTTTTCCTCATGTGATATATAGTAAAGTTGTTTATTTTTCCTTAAAATACTTCCTTGGGGATCATTTGTTGATATAAGAACATTGTTTTTTTTTAAGTCATTTATTTGACTTTAAACTCCCCATTCTGCAATAGCTATGTGGACTCCTATATCAGGAACAGAAAGCCTTTCCAACCTCAAGTGAATGTTCATAGACAAGGAGGTTTTCTTTTCTGAGGTCTCAGGACTTGGGCCAAAGGGGTTGGGTTGTGTTTTTATTTTTATTTTGAAGTGCATTCCGGCTGAATTTAATTATTCACCACACCCCAACCCAGCTAAGTAAATATAACCTTAAGATTCTGGCTTGGAAAGGTTTTGAAAAATAGCTGATTTTTTTTCTCTCCAAGAAGAGGTTCTATAGCTGGGTGCTGTATTATAGAGGGCACTGAGGAAGGAATCAGGAGCTGGGTGATTATCTTCTTAGCCTTGGTTTCCTTATGTACGACCTGGGGGCTGGAAGGTCCTGAGGCTTCTCTTAACTCTGAATGTTTATGATTATTTATGATATTAAAAAAGTTTAAAACTCAGAGACATTAGTAAAGGTCTGACAGTTTTACATTTTGCTTAACTAACCATAAACTATTTTGTCTTTATTTGATGATGAGAAACAGAGATACATTTATGAGAATTCTACATACATGTAATTAATATTGAAATAAAGACTATTACTTTCCATTACTAACCATGATCTAATGATCTTAATATGTAACTACCTAATGATCCAGTGATGAGTGGATTGCCATGATCAAATGCAACAGATGAAAAAAAGCACCTGCAGTTTGTAAAGGGAAAATAAGTGCCTAATAAAGGATTAGGTGAGCTGCTTTCAACTCATGCCATCACTTGTTCCAATCAGACATAAACTAATGTATATCTCAGTTTTCTCATATGAGTATAACATATGTCTGTCAGTACTGATATGTTAACATGCGGGAAAACATTCATAAAGAGTATTTGTTATAAGACAGAAGTTTTTTTAAAACATTTTATTTATTTATTTCAGAGAGGGGGAGGGAGGAAGAGAGGGAGAAAAACATCAATGCATGGTTACCTCTTGCATCCCCCCTACTGGTGACCTGGCCTGTAACCAAGACATGTGCCCTGACTGGGAGATGAACCAGTGACCCTTTGATTCTCAGGCTGGCTCTGAATCCACTAGGCCACATCAACCAGGGCAGAAGTTTTATGTGTGACCAAGGTGTGACTAGTTTTATAGAAGTCAACACTAAATGGCTTGGGTTATAGCTCCATTTCCTTGTCTCTGTGCATAGAACTTTACAATCTCTTTTATCTATCTACTTTTTTCTTTAAATTCACCAAATTTCCATTTGTTTTGTGAATAGAAGAATGTACAGAGAGAAGCTGCACTACAGATTTTATTGGAAAAGAGCTACAGGCTATTACCTCCTGCAGTAAGTGCAACCAAATCCGCTGAGATTTTGCTAGATTTTAATTCTGGACCCAGTAATTATCTTTCTCCTGTTTGCAGGGCAGAAGTAGCTATATGTGGAATTGAGGAAGCCTACAATATACCCATTCTGCTCTTACCTATCCCTTCTGCCTTCCCCTATGGCTCCCTACATAGATTGGTGATTCCTGAAATTGTACAACTCAAATTTTATTATTTGGTTTCATTCAGTATTGAAATGTAATACTTTGAGAAATAGTGTATTTCACATTATCTAACACATATCTACTACCATGTAGTAAGAATAACTTACATTCTGTGAGTCCTAATGGAGATGGGTGAGAGGTGGTATGTCATAGAGGAAGCCTGGACCCTCAAGACAAGTTTACTTATTCAACAATTATTCCAAGAACCTGAAAAATACATCATTTTGTTTTTCCTTTTCTTTCTCCTCCTCCCCTTACCCCAACACTGATACAGCATAACAGCATTACTTAGTCTTGATAATATAGACATCTCTTTCAATATAATTAAGGTTCACTTGTTGAATCCTAAATAGTCAATCTTGGAGATAAACTAAACTGTATAATGTATTTTATTTTAACAACACTTAATGTAAATAGACTTTTCTCACTGGATGTTATTGCAAAGACTCAGATAGGACATTAGCCCTACAGGAGAGATGACCAATTCTCTTGGAGACAGTACATCTCCAATTCTTACAAAGGGTAGTAAAACCATGCTGGTGGGATCCCCAGAGAGTTAGTAGAAAATCAGAATAAATTCAATGACTAATTAGCATCATCATATCCATGTTTTCATTAACTCATTTAATACTCAAATACTTCTTAAATACCTACCATATGCAACACGCTCTGAGAAGTACCCTGAGAATTGAAAAGCCATGGACACAGCTGAGGCCATTCATCACGACCCTGGGCTGGGCAGTTGATTCTGTCTGCTGCGTGCTCAGAGTAATTAAAAAGGGTGGGAAGCACAGAACCCCATTTCCAGATGTTGTCTTCTCATGGTGTGTTCAGGATGCCAAAATAGAGACAGCCTAAATGTGAAATCAGGGTACTTCACACTAAATCAGTTCAATACAAATTCACAGGCATTGTTTTAGGGGCAGGAGAAACAAAGACCCAAAATAGCCCACACTCTGGTATGAGATGAAGACACATGTATAACTATATGATATACCATGAAAAGGGCTTATAATAGTAGTAAAATCAAAGTGCTTTGGAAAATAGGAATGAGCTATTAATTCTGTAGGGGCTTTGTGGAAAAGGTTAAAATAGTAGCAAAAAGGAGATGCCATTTAGTTTGAGTATATTAAGCTAGTATTGAGACAGGAGGGAAACAGGGGAAATCCAGAGTTAACAACAATTCTAGTTAAACACAATATTCTGGCCAATAAAATGACAAAATTATTAGAAAATTAATAAGTAAAGGATTTTTAAAAATAAAACTACTACTTGTGAGCCCACCATGTGCAAAACCCTAAGCAATGCTGTGAGAGACAAAAGAGGTATTTTGACCTTATAATGAGTTTATATTTTGGACTAAGGAGCAATGACATTTATAAAATATATATCTATAAAAATATAGAAAATGCAAAAAACATACTAAGGGTGTGATTAATTACAAAATGGGTGGTACAACACTGAATGTAAAACATTCAGAACAAAAGTTGCTATAGATTGAATTAGCCTATAGAAAGTTAACTTTGTGTGTACCTGAAGAGGAAAATTATGGGGTTGGCTGGTTGACAGTCCAAACCAAGGTGATAGAGGTGGAGCAGCATGAGGCATACGAAAGAACCTTGGCTGGAGTTAGGAACTTGTCTCCCTCCTAACCTGGCTCTGACACCAACCATCTGTAACTTAAAATGACTCATTTAGCTTCTGTGGCCCAAAGCTCTCTGCTGTTGAGGGGAAGATGAATGAAGAGTCTCCTTCCCCTTTTCACTTCTTCCATTGTTGCCATTGTCTGCTGACTGGTCTAAACCAAAACACCCCTTGTCATTGTCAAGGGAGCTCTGGGACCTTACAAGCTGTGCTCTTAAATCAAGCTGACAAATGCAGGACCCCATAGCCATTCCCTGCCACTCCAGGGCTCTACCCCAAGTCAGCTTTATGTTTGGGGCTATAAGCACGAGGTATGTGACTATAGACGTAGTTCCAATCATGGAAGGATTTACAATGCAGCTAAAAGGCCCAAGCTTCAGGACTCATCACTTGCAGGGGTCCTTTCCATGTCCTCGAAGGCAGCCTGACAATAAACATGGTCATGATTTTGCAAAATCTGTAGTATTAAACAATTCCTGATTTAGTTTTCTTAGAGGGTCTCACCTTCAAATTGTGTAAGTTCTAGTGTCCCGAAAATGTGGACCAACCCCTCGTCCCCATGTACTTCCAATTTTCCTATTGCATGACTAAGGAGTGTACAAAGCAACAAAAAGGAAACCTCCTAAAACAGGAATAGGTGACATTACCCTGTTGGCCTGCTATGAGGTAAAGGAGAAAGAAGATTTACATCTCTGGGTTTGTTTGTTTCCTTTACCTTGGTCTTTCCTAGATGCTCTCTCCTTAATGCGGGACTGATCTCTGTCGATCATCCCCATGCTTGCTCTTTCAGAGCCAGTGACAGTGGACGGGGTTTTTACATGCTGAACTCAGGTATTGTTTTTGAGGCTTAGAATTTTTAGAACAATCTCTGCTCTGTTTCTTCCGCAGCAGGTTCTTAGAGACTTTACTGTTTTGCATAACAGGTACCAAGTCTCCTCTGAGTGCGGGCTCCGACATCAGAGGTTGCTTTACAGAGTGCCCTGTCGCGGGGCGGCGGGGATATCTCCGCGCAACTGGAGCTACTACGTTTAATTCACGCTGCTGACAGCCTGCGCGCGGGCAGGGATGGACTTCTGCCTCTGGGGAGTACTGGCGTGTGCAGAGCGTGGGGGAGCCGAGGGCGGGGGGAGGAGATCGGAAGGGGAGAGGTAATCCCCGTCGTTTTGAGTATCCCCTATTTAGAAAGACTGAGTCTCTCCCAGGACAGCTGCTGCGGTCACACCACAAACTTAAAAGCCGTCCTCCCGCTCGCAGCGCGTCTTTCCGCGCCACCCTCTCCTCCCCAAAGCTCCAGCTGGTGCCTGGCTCTCCGCCGGTCCCGGACGGTGCTCGGGAGCCAGCAGCGCCCCCTGCCTCTCCACCGGGCTTCTGCGGCCGCCTCCTCCGCGCTCCGCCAGGGCGGCCGGCGGCTCCGCCGCTCCGAGGAGCTCACGCCGGGGCGCCGGGACGCGGATTCACCACCTCGCACGCCCTCAGCCTACATCCCCTCCCTCTTTCCCTGAAGGGACTTCGGGCAAAGACAGAGGGTGAGAAGCGTTCGCGGCAGGTAAGGTTGGTTTGGGGTCACCTGCTACTCTAGTGGGGAGGGCGCGCTAGGGACCGCGGTGTTAAGCAGGGGTAACCGTATTTGGGGGTGGCTGTGGATCCAAAGTGAGGATGCGGACCCGCGGGGTGATGACTCGTCCCGGGAAAGAAAAAGCGCTCGGAGCAGACTGGGAGTTGGCGCGCCGGAGAACAGACGGCGAGTCGGTGCACTGTGGAGCGGACGGCCTTTGCGCGCCGAGCTGGAGACAGCGTGGCGGCTGGGCGAGTCCCGTCTCTTCGCCGCCGGAGCCTCCTCCGGTTGCCAGCACCTCGCAAAGTTTTCCTCCCGAGACGCGCCCAGTAACTTCTCGCCGTCTTCCTGGCTTCCTCACCCCGTCCCTGGCCGCTGCGGGAGGGAGCGCGTTTGAACGTGCCCGGTGGCTTTAGCCGGCTGCAGGTTCTTTTGGAGGCGAGTTGGTGGGGACAGGCTGGGTATGACTTGGCCAAGGTCGTCGGCGCCCTCGCTCGTTCCTTTTCCCATTGGGCTGGGAGAAGGGAGGAGGAGACCGTGGTAATTGTTTTTGTTATCGTGCTTTGGGGGAGTGATGGACGACGCCTTTTCCCTTGCAAGGGAATCGCGACGCTCCGTCGGATAGAAACTTGCATCCTTCTGGACCCAGAGGGGAAAGTTGGAATGAGAGCCCAGCCCCAAAGCTGGCTGCCCAGGAATGCAGTTGCTGCAAACGCACTTCTGCTGGAGCGGGTCAGCCCTGGGTAGCCCTTGGCTGGGCTCGATCCTGAAAGACCCGAATTTGACTCCGGCTCGGAATGTAACCCAGTGAATTATCCCTTCTCCCCCGGGTGTTCCCTCCCTGCTCCCTACCGACCCGCCCAGAGTTGACGCGTTAATTAGCTACCCGGGCAGCGTTGGGGCCGTTTTCAACACTGGAAGATTCCCCTTCATTCCTGACTTATGTTCAGCCTCGTGTGTTGAATCACTCTGCTTTGGTCCCAGCGCGCGGAGGGCACTTGACAGGAGCAGGAGACACCACGCTCTCGCCCGCAGACTGGAATCGAGGGGACTGGACAGGAACAGTACGCCCGACAGCTGGGGCCGCCGAGGCGCCGAATTCAGGGTTTCAGAGACCGGATTTAAATGGGCGAACTTTTCGCCATTTAGACACGAGTTAAGCTGTAAATAAAATCAAGTGCCTCTACGAGGAGTCCTCTTTCTCCACCAGACCCTTTCATTCTTCTTAGCTACTCAGTGCTGTTTGCACAAGCAAAATAAGAGAGCGGGGAGAGGGGAGGGATTTAAAATCACCAGTTTAGCGGGAAAAGGATCTCCTCTTGACTCTGTGTGTGTGTGGGGGGGGTCGTGGGGGAGGCAGAGGGCATGGGACCCTACTGGGTCTGGTGCTGCTATTCTGTAACCCTGGCAACCGCCAGGGCATGAGCGGTCAGAGCCTTCCGGGTTCTGCACGTGGAAAGAAAAATGTGAAGGGTGGGGAAGGGAGAGAGCCGCATGTCATCACTCCAATGATGCCTTGCTTCTCCCGCTGCTCCGAGGCCAGACTGCAGGGAGAATGAGTAGGAAGGGTTGGGTTTGGAAGACAGCAGCCCCAGGCGGGAATTGCTTTAACTCTGTCCAGCTTTGGAATCGCTGAGGTGCAGCTAAAGCTGGTCAGAGAAGCCTTCACTGACAGACTACAAAGTGATGGTCCAGATCGGGGAGATGGGAAAAGACCTTGGCCCTGGGAAAAGAAAGGCCAGGAAATACAGGAAGGTGATGTGGGAAGAGATAAGAATGGGGTCAAGAGGTAACTGAGAGACAATAACACAACTCTGATCTGGACTGGCAACTTTTCTAATGGAATTTGCCCATTTATGGAGTGGAAAATTAGTGGAGAAGGAAAGGGACGTTCATCAAACACTTATTACATCTCAGGTGCTTTGTATATTATCATGATTATTATTTCTACCAATATTACACAAGATGACATTATTCATTCACTCCCTCTCCCTCTCTCCCTCCCTCTCTCCCTCCCTCTCTCCCTCCCTCTCTCCCTCCCTCTCTCCCTCTCCCTCTCCCTCCCTCTCTCCCTCTCCCTCTCCCTCTCCCTCTCCCTCTCCCTCTCTCTCTCTCTCTCTCCCTCCCTCTCTCCCTCCCTCTCTCCCTCTCCCTCTCCCTCTCCCTCTCCCTCTCCCTCTCCCTCTCCCTCTCCCTCTCCCTCTCCCTCTCCCTCTCCCTCTCTCTCTCTCACAAAAAAGGAGAGCCTTGGCTGGTGTGGCTTAGTGGATTGAGTGCCTGCCTGAGAACCAAAGGGTCACGGGTTCCATTCCCAGTCAGGACACATGCCTGGTTTGAGGGCCAGGTTCCCAGTAGGGGGCGCATGAGTGGCAACCACACACTGATGCTTGTCTCCCTCTCTTTCTCCCTCACCTTTTCTAAAAATAAATAAAATTTTTAAAACAATTAAAAAAAGATAAAGAAAAACAAGCAGATACAGGGTTGGAAATGGGTGGTGTCCCATTTTGGCTTTTTGAATCTTAAAGAATCATAATTATTAACAATAATGTTGATGGTTTGGGGAATAGACAAAGCAGTTATTCTCATTTTAGAGATAAGAATAATGAGATGTAAAGGTGTTAATTGATGTATCCAATATAAGCTAGTGGGGGGCTGAGCTGAGTTTGGAACTGTTTTCAGGCATCTTTCCATGACCTGACTTAAAAGAAGGACCTTTCTAAGATCAATTTACCTTTGTATCTGTATATTATAATTTACAAGGGAAGAACATCCGAGTAATGGATTAAATGGAGTCCATGGTTGAGGATTTATGTAGAGGCTGCCTCACGTCTGTAGGCTGAGAATCATAAATACATGATATTTATAATCTATATTTATCCAGATCTTATTGTAGCTTATATGAATGATTAGTGGCTTTGATAATGTTTATAAGGGATAATTAAAAAACATATTTTGTCAGATAATAACCCCATGTTCATGCTGAGAAAATTTCCTGAGATTAATGAAGTTTCCTTTGGTCTACTTATTGCCTTCATGATTTGAATACCTAAAACCTTACTTCATATTTCAGCACCATTGGTTCACCTTTGTAACAGTCTGTTGCCTATTCACTTAGGAGGAGCAATGATTTGACTTCTGTTACCTTCCTTTCTGAGAAAAATGTCTGGCAATGCAAAATGTTTTGGAATTATCAGGAAGCTATTGTCAACACAGAAGGAAGTAAAAGTAAAAAATAGAGAAATAATTATGTAGCTTTTCTTTTGCTTTCTTTCAGAATTGTCTTCATAGGTACATCTTAATTAATTAACTTGCTTTGTATTTTTGCATGGGAAAAATGCACAAAGATAAACTGAATTTTTAATCTATTTGTGTGGAGGGGCTGGTAAGGTTGAGAGTGAGACTTATTTTTGGTGTAGAGGAAGGTCTATAATGTAAACAATTATGAAGGCAGAGGAAGTACACGTAGTGTTTCCAATTACAGACTAACAAGTTAACTATGTGTTTGAACTTGTCATTGAGCTAAATTACTCTGAATTCTTTTCCAAAACTAGAAGAATATATTGTTTGGGGCTGGAATTAAATTAAAATAGCACTTTGCAACAACTTTTGAAGTATTTTGAAATATAAGTATTGATATTACATTTAAATTATTAAACATGAATAAATACAAATGATTAAAAACAGATAGTTAAATGCTTCCCCAAACTAGAATGTATAATGAAGTATACTGTTCATACTTAGATTTGAAATGATTTTGCTTATTTTAATGTATGTCAATATTTGATCCTTTATCTCCATGTTAATAATATTTAATAACGTCTAATAGTCATGAATCAGGACATCATTAACCAACTTGTTAATCTTCCAGTGTAAATTTAGGTTCTCTGCTCATTCTTTTGCAAAGGTCAATAAGCTATACATATTACGGTTCCATAGAACTGTATAAAATAAACTGAGAATTAAGTGACCAAAGGTTTGCAGATATGTCTGTGTGTTCCTGAATCTATCTTCCCTCTAAAGATGTGGTATCCTCTGCTTCAGAAATCAGGACGTACTTTATGCCCCTTGTTTTTTCTGTAGGGCTTTTAACAAAACTTCAACCTGTTTTATTTTTAAAGCTGGTGGTTAATAGTATTTCTGTTATTGGGGTTTACTAGCAAATCACAAGAAAATGGAAATATTTGCTCTGTTTTTCTAATTAAATATAGTTAAGGATCACTAAGTGGGGCTATTACTACTGAGAACAAAATCAGTGAAATAAGCAAAAAGTCTAAATTATTGAACATTTTAAGAGAAATGTAGTACTATTGCTTTCATGGGAAATGAACAAAATGATGTGGGTTTATGAAGGTGACATTATTAATCTACCATCAGAAAATTGTTCAATTTGTTTTTCCTATATTATTCATTTTACTAAGTGTTCTACTTACCCAATATTTGCATATCCTAAATAGCTTTTAGGGATTATGATGCCATATTTATTCTAGAAATGAACCTATATAAGCTGTATCTAATAACTGAGATACATTTATTATTAGTGTGTATGAACTGCTTAAAAACAATGTCAAGGAAAATAGATATTGTATTAATTTGCTTAATTAAGCCAATAGGAGCCTTTTTTCCAAATATTGAGAGCTGGGCCCATGCCTAATGATGTAATAATCTCAAATTATGTCTGAATCATGTGGTTTTCTTGGATGAGATGTATAAACTCAGTGTTAGGCTTTTACTCCCCTTTGTTGTCTTTTTATATTTATTCTAAAGACCAGTCCATACATGTGCAATTAAGGCATTCTTGGGTTTTAGTCCCTGTTGTTGCTTTTAGATAAATATTTGCTCTTCATTTCTGAAGTGATTGTTCTATGAAAGTAAGAAGTGTTTCCTAAGGTGAAAATGAATAATATTCTTATTTGGAGGAACACTTTCAATTTTGAAATATAACACATTTCAAAAATAAATATTTGGAATACTCTGAATTCTGAGTTTACTTA